TGTGTTTAACTCATGTCCTTTTGGGAAAAGAATAGAATTATTTAATGACAGCATCAGTCGCTTTGGTTGTGCTGGTATTAGTCCTTCTCTGCTAATGATGTACTCTCCCCTCGAAAGTCATCGTCTGTCCCTTCTCAGATACTGACATTGACCCATGAAATGTTCAACACAGACAAGGCATTCAGGAGGAGTTAGCAGTGAGCTGGGGGAAGACTAGCTGGTTCAGGAACTGACAATACACTGTCCAGTAAGGTTTGTACTAAATTGATCAAGCAAATGACATGATTTCAGCAACCCTTTCCAAATTACACTGTCAGTGACCCTGAGTGTGAAAAATAGGGACATCCAAGTCTCACATTGCAGGGTCTTCCTATTTTGTATTTTTATTCAAGTATAGTTAACATATGGTGTAATATTAGTTTCAGGTGTTCAATATAGTGATCCAACAATTCTTAGAGTACTCAGTGCTCATCATGATAAGTGTACTCTTAATCGCCTCTATTTCACCACCCCCCCCCCCATCTATCTCCCTTCTGGCAACCACTAGTTTATTCTCTGTATTTAAGGGTCTGATTTTTTGTCTTTTTTTCCTTTGTTCATCTGTTTTGTTTCTTAAATTCCACATATGAATGAAGTCATACAGTATTTGTCTTTCTCTGATTTAGTTCACTTAGCATTATACCCTTTAGGTCCATCCATGTTGTTGCAAATGGCAATAAAAAGATTTCAATCTTTTTATGACTGAACAATATTCCATTGTATATGGAATATCTCCATCCATTCATCTATCGATGGACATTTAGGCTGCTTCCATGTCTTGGCTATGGTAAATAATGTTGCGATAAACTTAGGGGTGCATATATCTTTTCAAATCAGTGTTTTCATTTTCTTTGGGTGAATACCCAGTAGTGGAATTACTGAATCACATGATAATTCTATTTTTAGTTTTTTGAGGAAGAAGGGTCTCTCTTTAAAAGGCAGCTCAATCACTCAAAGGAACAGAGGATAAATACGTAAGTGATATAATGAGAGTTGCTTTGTAGCCAAGCAATCTAGGTCTGAGTCCTGGCTCAGCCACTTGCCAACTCATATCTTTAGACAAGCTATTTAACCTCTGTGAGCTTTACTACTTCATATTTTAAAAGCAGTTACAATGCCTACCATGTAAGAATGCTAGAGAGTGGTATTAGCTTCTCAGGAAGAAGCGGCAGCACTTAACATCAGGCAGGAGGAAGCTACCACTATATAAAATTCCATTTGGGGGCACCTGGGTGGATCAGTCGGTTAAGCATCCAACCTTGGCTCAGGTCATAATCTCACGGTTCGTGAGTTTGAGCCCCAAGTCGGGCTCTGTGCTGACAGCTCAGAGCCTGGAACCTGCTTTGGATTCGGTGTCTCCCTCTCTCTCTGCCCTTCTGCTCGTGCTCTGTCTCTCTCTCAAAAATAAACATTTAAAAAAATTTTTTTAAACCTCAATTTAAAAATTGTGCAGTTCTATTCAAATGTTTAACCATCAAAGAGGAAGAGAGCAAAGCAGGTTCCGTGTTTGACGTAGATGTTGCTGTTCACAAGAAGCAAAGAAATGCACCAGACACAGAGTCAGGGGACTTAAAGTTGGCCAGAAGCAGGAGCCTCAGTCTTTCTAAAAGGCAGTGCTCCAAAGGCGGGCCCCAACACAACAGGCCCCATCTCATTCATTTTGCTTCTCAGAAAAAGCCAAGGTTGCAGAGGAAGCTTTCTAGCTCAAATCATGGACAAAAACCAAGCCAGTTTCTGGAAAGACTCCTGTTCCTGCCCCCAACCCAAGCCAGTCAACATCAGGCAAGATGGTGCCTTGTTATCATGAGAAGTTCTTCCTGCAAGTCACCCCTCACCACCAAGACCACATTCAACACTGGAAGTTGTAGCTCCTAAATGCCAAGAAGCATTTTGTCCACATGAGGATGAAGCTGCCTTGAGCCATCCCAGTCTTACCCTGACATGGGCGGGTGAAGTGATTTCATTTCCCCATATTGCCCTTTCTCGTATGATGGCACAAGATCTGAGAAGGGAGGCTAACAGGAGCTATTTTTTTTCAAGCAGCTATCAACCACATTCAGAAATCAGGACTGCAAATAGGCATAATCTGCACTCCTCCCACAACGTAGCCTCCAAAATGAAGTTCTACAAGGATCACAGTGGCTCTTAGAATTACTGAGTGCCCAGGGCAGTAAGGTACCTTTGCACATCACGTCACCACTGGCGGACCCAAAGGGGGAAAAAGGAAACAAGAGCACCCATACAACTGGGCCCTGTCTTCTTGGATGGATTCAATATAAGGGAGTTGCTAAGAAGGCTCTGCCTCCTCCCCCCGAAGCAAAATTTTCTCATTCTTCGAACTAATGCAGATACTCAAATCAAATTTGCTCTGGAAAACAAGTTAGTAAGTACACAATTTCATTTCTGATCGCCTATAGCTGCTAAAGGAAACTAATTCTAGCTGCCCAGAGGAAACAGCCTGAGGCCCCAGGTGAATTGTGAGCAGTCTGGCTCGGCACCCACACTCCTAATTATATGACACTGGCTCTGCATGAGGTCAATATGGTGCTTTCTCCTTTTCAGACTTTTTAAATTTCTGTCATCTCACTTAATCCTAGAATCCATAACAGATCTAGGATGTGAGTGGGAAAGATGACATAACCCTCACTGTATGGCAGGGGAAAACACTGAGTTAAGTGATGATTCTCAAGCCCCGTAACAAGTCAGAGATAAAGTCAGGAGGACACATTCATTCTTTCGACAGATGTTTATTAAGCATCTACTCTGTACCAAGCAGTGAGCTAGGCTCCAGGGAAGCAGCAGTGCACAAATGCTAATCTCCAGTAAGCATTTCAGTGAGGAAACAATGGAAGAGCTGGCAATTTTAGCTGTTGATGATGACAATAAGCAAGACAGAGAGTGACGAGGCTGTTGAGTATGTGGACTGATGGCCAAGCAAGAGCTCTCAGAAGCAGTAGCATTTCTGCCGAGGCCTGAATAACAAGAAAGAGAGGGGAAGCATTCCAGGAAGGAGGAAGAACAGGGTCCGGTCTCAGGGATGTCCAATGGAACATACTGGCCAATGTGGTGGCATTGTGGTCAGGAAGGGGGAGGGTGGGAAGACACGAGGTGGGAGCAGAGAAGGTAAATAAGAATAAAAACTTTGAAAATATTGTAATAATGTATTTTCCATCACCCTAAATCATCAGGCTTAGCAATGGTTTAATATTTCAGGAGAAACTACTAGAAAAAAATAAAGTCATTGTCCAAATTTTACTGTAAAATTAGATGAAGAGAGAAGTATAGCCAGACAATAGTTATGAGAGTCCAGATTTCTAGAGAAGAGAGATTTCTTTTTTTTTTTTTTTTTTTTTTGGGACAGAGAGAGACAGAGCATGAGCGGGGTAGGGGCAGAGAGAGAGGGAGACACAGAATCGGAAACAGGCTCCAGGCTCTGAGCCATCAGCCCAGAGCCCGACGCGGGGCTCGAACTCACGGACCGCGAGATCGTGACCTGGCTGAAGCCGGACACCCAACCGACTGCGCCACCCAGGCGCCCCATAGAGAAGAGAGATTTCTTAATCTGAAAGTTCTCTTTACATAGCAAGAGGCCAGCCTGGTCCTTTGTCAAAGAAAGGAACTCTGAGTGAAGAGAGCTCAGATCTGATACAGGGAACTCCCACCTTACTAGAAAGGAAATGAAGCCACTTCCAAGGCGGGGCGGCAGAAGGACAGGAGGAAGGAAGTGGATGAGGAATTGTTCACATATGCCATATCTAGTTTCATTGCCCCCCTCACTGGGGCCATTATCTGGGGCTGCAGATGTTAGAAACAGAATCAGTACATCGGGGCGGGGGGGGGAGCCCAAACAGTGAAGTTTGTTTCTCACTTTCCTGGCCACAAACTGGAAATTTTTCAAGCTAAAGTTGGTGCTTGAAATGCAAATGCAGTTTCAGGTCCTGCCCCATCCTCACCCCATGATACTTCTTCAATCTGATCCAATGCCTGAGTCTCTCCAATGTAGATAGTCCCACCAGTGGTGGCTGGGATCCAGCCACTGAGAGCATGGAACTAATCTGGGAAAATCTGGAGCTGGGAAAGAAGCCTCCTGACCAAGATTCCACTTCTCCTGATATCTTGTGGCCTTTGGACAGGCTCTGCATGCAGAAAGTCAGCAATAGTTAGAAGCCATATTTTCTGGATGTATAACAAGCATTTCTCTTTAGGCATCCCCTTGCTCTAACCACCCTTGCTGGTACACGGGCACTCAGAATCGGCTCCCGGTGCTGACTCCACAGGTCGACCCAGGCCCGCAAGTGGTGCGGGGGCCACAGCTTGGACGAGGCGCACAGGGGGGAGTCACACAGGCAGCAGAGGTGGAGCATGGATTGCAAGGGAGTCTGTGGAGAGAGAGAAAAGGTGAATGAAGTGAGGGATGGGAAATGAATGATGTGTGATAGAGCACAAGGAAGGAGTCGCCCTCTTTAAAACTACAAGACGGGGACCCAACAGATGCCCTAGCCATTGACCCCCTATTGTGCACCCCTAGTGCTAGACTGAGGGATCTCTATCTACAATGTCATCCAGAATTAAGGTTTTCTAGACGAGAATCGGGTTCTAGCCTACAAGATAAAAAATACAAACAAAGATTAAAAAGAGAGCAAAAGTGAGTTCAACAAACCTGCTGGGATCTATACTCAAATTGCCTGTTCAAGATACAGCCATGTTTCTACTCTCAGCAGTGAATGGCTAGCCAAGCAGCCCCACTGGCGACCTGGCAATGGATCCTAATGGATGGTCACTCCCTTCATATTCCGTCAATGAGGCAGAGTATGAGAAGAGGAAGGGCAATGGGTCACTCAACAGGAGCATAGACTGCCTTCTGGTTTGTAGACAACACCACTGTTACCGTAAGGAACTCATAAGAATTGGGCAAATGATTGGCCAAGAGTGCCTAGATCACACATACTTGCAATCCTCACTCTCCAGAAGTTTCCGGTACGTGGCAATCTCGCTCTCCAGCCGGGCCTTGACGTCCAGCAGCACCTGGTACTCCTGGTTCTGCCGTTCCAGGTCAGCCCGGATCTCAGACAGCTGCTCCTCCACGTCACGGATCAGGATCTGCATCTGGGCCAGCTCGGTGCCGAAGCGTGCATCTGACTCACACAGGGAGTTCTGCAGACAGTCCTTCTGTAGTGGCAAATAACCGGGTAAGAGA